TCTGCAGTCAGGAAGCAGAGAGAGGTGAGCGCTGGTGCTTAGCTGATTTTCTCCTTTTCATTCAGTCTAGGACCCCACCCATGGAATGTGCCCCCCACATGCAGACATTCAGGTTGGGTCTTCCTACCTCAGTAAAATCTTTCTGGAAACACCCTTGCAAATGTGCCCAGGGATGAGTCTCCTAGGCCATTCTAAATTCTGACAAGATGACCATCAAGATTAACCACCATACTAGGCCTCTGTCCCTTCATGCCTCAATCACAGAGCACAAGCTTGTCTTGACTTTATAGTGTACATAAGTTTCCAACCCTGAAAACAAAAGGAACAATTTTACAAGTATTGTGATGGATCCTACAGGAGGTAGAAATTAGGGGGTTTGAATGTATGCTAGCAGCAAATGAAGACCATAGTGGTTTCCTTCCCTGGTGGGACACAACCCCTTCCTCTCCCCCAAGTACCACTGGGAAGAAAACACAAGAGCTTAGAGCCCTGTTTTCCTAGGTACAGTTTTGGGAAGTCTGGCCTTAAGAAACATTCTACCAGCAAAAAGACCCACAGCCAAATAGCTCTGGGAAGCCCTGTCACTCTGGCTTCCCTGGGGTAGTCACAGGGCTACTTAGTGAGGTGAGGAGCCAGAATCCCAAGCTTTCTTTCCTGTGGGATGGGCTGGGCACATGTTGCTCTGACTCCTGTTTTACAGGTTCTAAAGTCCCAGGAGGTTCCTTAGGCTGTAACCCACTGCTGTTCACATTTTTGGGTGCCTTCACCACATGTGGATGCTGAGGCTCTAGCCTGGGGCTGCTGAACATCTTGCCCACGTGGCTCTCTGAAGAGAGCAGGCTCTAAGATATAGTGTGGCGAAGTCTCCCGCAGGTGACTACATCATTTTCCACCCCAACTGGGGCAGCACTGATGCATAATTGTGTTGGAGTAACAGATGTGTACACAAGGGCTCTCCTACACACAAAGAACTGACACTCAACAGATGGATTATGGTTTCTGTCTATCATTTTAGGTGCCTTCTCTAGAACCAAGTAGGAGACACAAGGAAAAGGGCTTCGATTCAAAATTAAAAGTGGCTTTCTAACAGGGAGCCTCTACAAATAGTGTAGGCTATTTTACAACTAGGCAAGCATCTTATCTTAGGTATGGCAGAGTGACGTGTCCCTCTACCAGAGATGCTAAATATAGATGGTATTGGCATGTGGGGCAGACACTTGGGCTAGGTAACTGCAACTGGCCTGTGATTGTAACTGGAAATACCTGCCCTTCTTTACCCTGTCATTTGGTGAGGGTGAGGAGCTTATTTCATTATAGGCGGGCAAAATCCTCCCTTCTGATTCATACATAAAAACATGTGTGGATAAAAATAGATGTATAACAGGACTGAAAGAGTAGAAACTTGCTGGGAACAGGAGAAGTTTGATAATTTAGCATAAATATTCAGAGGCACTCGTATAATTACATAAATAGTTCTTAGTTTGCAATGAGTACAGTTTTTAAAAAAATTTTGTTATTTTTATTTTATTGCCTGCATGTATGTGCAGTGCCCACAGAGGTCAGAAGAAGACGTTGGATCCCCTGGAACTGGAGTTACAGACAGCTTTTGGCTGCCTTGTGCTGAGAATTGAACCCAGGTCTTTTGCAAGAACGGCCAGTGTTCTTAATTGCTGAGCCTTCTCTCCAGCTCTGAGTATAGTTTGAATAAAAGATTTATTTTTATTTATGTGTATGTGTCCATGTGAATGTATGCCACACGAGTGCAGTATCTTTGGAGGCCAGAGGAGGGTGCTAGCCCCACAGTATAGCCCCACGAGTATAGTTTTGACTGATTAAAGAGAATATTCTGTGGCATAGCAAAATATATCCAGTACACTGGCCAAGTTAAAATTTTTTAAATTTGTTTTGATTTTATGTGTATGAGTGTTTTGCCTGCACATATGTAAGTGAACCCGTATCAGGCAATGCCTGTGGAGTCCAGAACAGAGCATCAGAGTTACAGGTGGTTATTAGCTGCCGTGTGGGTGCTGGTAACTGAACCTGGGTCCTCTGCAAGAGTGGCCAGTGCTAGTGAGCCATCTGTCCAGTCCTACCACTGATCAACTGTGAAGTGAATCAGAATCAGTCCTCAAGAGCCTCAGAGTCAGCTGGAAGAGTTGGTCATGTAATATGTTAACATAAGGGGTGAATGATATAAGGGAATTCTTTGAACTATTTTGGGGACTTTAAGCCCAATATTTCTTCAAAAATAAAAAATAAAGAAACCCATATCCTTTACTCCTGTGGCCAGTTCATATCACACCATATTTGATAAATGTTCTTCTCTATTTAAGAATTCTTTATTTTTTAGTGTTGTTGGAGCTCAAACTCAGTTTGCCAGGCAAGTTTTCTACTACTGAGCTACACCACCAGCCATATTTTTACTTTTTGTTTTGAGACATGTTCTCACCAAACTGCCCAGGCTGGCCTTATACTTACTCTGTAGCCTGGGCTGGCCTTGAACTTTCAACCCTCCTGCCTTAACCTCCTGTTAACTGGGATTATAGGATTGTACCACAAGGCTCAGCTATCAGGTTTTTGCTGTTGTTTTGCAACACGATCTGATGCAGCCCATGCTGGCCTCAGATTCCATATGTAGCTGAGGATGACCTTGAATCCCTGATCCTCCTGCCTCCACCTCTTAAGTGCTGAGACTATCAGTATTAAATGGGTCAGAGTTTGCAAGATCTATTTGAACCACTGGGTCTGGACCTATGACGCTCTGGATTCTTCTAACCACACTCATACAGGAGCCTCTCACCAAAATCTGTTTGATTGAACCAGTTGGAATCGGTCAGTGCCTGCAGTACCTAGGTGCCAGGCACTCAAATTGCTTCTTTCTCGTTGATCTAATCTTTTTGGTTGCCCAGCTCCCTTTTGTTATTTTTTTGGGGTGTTTGTTATCTTTCTGTTGCTCTTATTGTTGCTCCCACAAAGCATTCCATGCCTATCTCACCCCCCCCCCCAGTGTGGCCTGACTTTGAGGTAGGGAGCTCGCATTCTGACATAACCTACATTGTCCCACAGGTATACCTGCCCTTTCCAAACATCACCTGCGGGTAGGCTTTTGAGGCGGTCATAAACAAACAGGTTGATTCACATCAAGGGAGAGATTCCTGTGCCTGGATGCCTCTTCAATTGTTTAAGATCATCCCTGCCCCCTCTGGGAAAAGAGGGACATTTTCTCACTCTTGCTTCCTCCTCCCAACTCTAGACACTTTGGTTTGAACTTAAACACTTTAGAACTGTGTTTGGAGTCAAGAAATGGTGGGGCTGACAAGATGGCTTAGTAGGTAAAGGTGCTAGCCAGCAAGCCTGACGATCTTAGTTCAATCCTTAGACCCACGTGGAGAAAGGAAAGAGTAGAGTCCTACAAATTGTCTTCTGACCTTCATATAGGAGCCTCCCAGTAATTAATTGATTAACTTAAAATTAAAAAAAAACCCTGCAGTCTAGTAATTTCTTGCCTGCAACTAGCTGTATAGCTTTGGTCATGTCCTCTTTGGGTCACTTTCCCAATCAATAGGGCTGGAAGTGCAGATCAAAATCTGGTTATTATTTTAATTTAAAAAATATTTTGTTACTCTTATGTGTATGAGTGTATTGCCTGCATGTAAGTGCACCCACATTGTGCGATGTCTACGGATGGCAGAAGAGGGTGTCGGATCCCCTGGAATTGGAGTTACAAATGGTTGATAGCTGCCATCAGGGTGCTGGGAATCAAATCTGGGTCCTTTGCAAAAGCAGTCAGTGCTCTTATCCGCTGTGCCATCTCTCCAGCCCCAATTATTATTCTTTTGCAGCAAACTTTTTCCTTTCTGCCATAATTAACTGTACAGTGCCCTGGAAGGCCAAATTGCTCTGGCTCGCAGGGAGATTTTATCTTAGGGATGCTGTCTAACTCCAGCTGGAAGTTGGAGAGTTTCTGCCCTTTTTTGTTGCCAGCAAGCAGGACAAGAGCCCCTTGAGTGTCATGGTGTGTGAGTGCATCCACAGGCATGCAAAATGCAGTTTAAGTTTCCTGTCTCCCTAACAGTTCAGCCCCCTGCTCTGTTCTGGTTTACAGTGATGTTTTCTTTGCTGGCTCCCTGGGTCAGCCTCAGCCTCATTCATGGTGGCAGCCAGAATGGTTGTTCTTCAGTACCCAAGGACGTCCTTGTCCCTCTCATGCTGCAGTCCTTCCAAAGCTCCCACAAGTGTCTAAGATGAAGAAGGCCTCTGAGGACTTCCAGCCTCTGGTTCTTCCCATCTCTTGGTCCCCACCTCCTTCCCCCTTTGCTCATCTGCAGATGAGGCTGGCCAGCCTGGGGCCCCTTTTTGTTGATAACGCCTTCTCCCTGGCCCCTCCTGGCTGGTGTTCCTTCTCCCTGGCCCCTCCTGGCTGATGTCCCTTCCCCCTGGCTTCTCCTGGTTGCTGTCCCTTCTCCCTGGCCCCTCCTGGCTGGTGTCCCTTCTCCCTGGCTTCTCTTGGTTGCTGTCCCTTCTCCCTGGCCCCTCCTGGCTCATGTCCCTCCTCCCTGGCCTCTCCTGGTTTCTTCCCTTCTCCCTGGCCCCTCTGGGTTGCTGTCCCTTCTCCCTGGCCCCTCCTGGCGAATGTCCCTTTTCCCTGGCTTCTCCTGGCTGCTGTCCCTTTTCCCTGGTCTCTCCTAGCTGATGTCCCTTCTCCCTGGCCCCTCCTAGGAGGCCGATGTCCCTTCTCCAGGTTTCCAAGGATCTGTCTGGGTTTCAAAGGCCGGGGAGGGTCGTGGGGGTGAGCCAGGGCCGGTCCTCCCCCAGGTGGCCGCCAGGGGGCGCCGGGCGCGGCTGGCGATGACAGCGGGAGCGGCAGGGGGAGGGCGGCGGGCGCGGATCCCGCTCTCCGCAAACTCCGAGCTTCGCTGTCCGCGCGCTCTGCAGACGCCGGCCGCCCGCGCAGCCCACGCGGACTCGGGGCGCAGCTGGAGCCGGTGCGGGGCGGCGGGGGGGTCCATGCGGCGGCGCGCGGGGTCGCCCGGCTCCGGGAAGCACGCGGGGGTGAGGCCAACGAGGCGGCCGCCCGCCGCTCCGGGACTCCGAGCGCCAGGTGAGCGGAGCGTGCAGCCCGGCCGCTGTCCTCCGGAGTCCGCAGGTTGTTCGGCGCGGACGGCGCGGACTGGACGGCAGGGCTGGGGGGTGTGTCGGGTCGAGCTAGCGCGCAGCTCACACCGCCGCGCCGGCTTCCCTCCTGCCTGCGCTTCCCCTCCGGTCCCTTCCTCTTCCCCTCCTTCCTCTCCCCTTCCCCTTCCTTTCCCCGGAGGCTTTGCTCAGCCCTCGCTGTCCATCCCAGACTCCTAACTCTAAGCACCGGCCACCTGTGTGTATGGGGGCGAGGAGTAGGGGAACGCTGGCATTCCTGAGCTAGGTTCAGTTCAGAGGGAGGCTGGAGCTGCACACGCTGGTGGGTGTGCCCCCCCCCCCCCCAGCCTCATTCCTTCATGCCTGGCGCAGGGATTGCGGGTGGGGTATCAGCGCTCCCTGAGCCCCAGCCTAGGGCCTCCACCAAGCTGGTTTCTAGAAAGCCTGGGATCCTTGTCAGTTTGCAATCCAGCACCAGTGCTAGGCCAATTGGATAAGCCTGTTTCTGCCAATGGGACACTTCAAGTGCAGCCCACATACCTGTGGCCCTGGGTGTGCTTAGAGCGCGTAGTTAGCGTCTGCCCTGCTCACTCACTTTGCAGTGTTAGAATTCTGGACATGAAGTTTTATTTTTCTTTGAAATAACTTCAGCCCTGTCTTGGGAAGAGGAGTTCCAGGCAGCCCGCTTAGCATCTGGAATTATGAGTCTAGTGAGCTTTTAAGCAGTCCACTCCCAGCATGTGTTTCCCTAGCCTCCTGTCTATTAAATGTGCATCTTTTCCTATTTTCTTTGCACCTTCCAACAGACAGTGTCTCACCCCTTTAAAAGCAGTAGGTGTATTGAAGCCTTGGATCCGGGAGCTGAAGCTTGCTAGAATTTGGAATAAGAAAATAGATAGCCCCGAGGTCAAAGGAATTATCTTGTCCAGTTTCCCTTGAGCTGAACATACCCAGACATAACCTAAGATCTCACACCTTTAGAACTGGTGTCATGTTTTCCACTTCATTGATGTCTTTGGTCAGGTAGAGTTGGAGGCGATAGAGTTGCTGGGTAGAAAGGCTTCTTAGCTGGGTTTCAATGTACAAAGGAGCAAACATTTAAAAAAATGCGATTTAAATATGGTCCTACTCAATTCCTATAGATTTTTATTGGCACCATAGTTGAATTCCTTTTGCAAACAATTCTAGCCCTTGAAATGAATGTGAGGAAGCAAATGACAGTCCTGGGACTTTCCTATAAACCTCTGCAGGGCTGGAGCAGGGATTTCCCAGAGGTCCTGGTCTGCAAAATAAGTTTGGGTGATGAGGATGAGAAACCATTATTCAGAGAGGTGATCGTTGGTGTCCTGTGGGGACCACTGGGCTCATGCAGACTACATCTCCAGTTTAGGGCAGGCCACCAGACTGGTCTTAACTTTCTACTCTCCTGTGTCCTATACAAGTCCTTCTAACTAGCTATAAGGGAAAGGAAATAGAGTACGGTTTGGGAGGAAGATCAAGGTTGGAGATTTTGACTTACCTTTTTGTGTCTGCCTAGAAATGCTTGTTTGGATTGTGGTCAGTTACCCACAGTGAACCTGGGCATGGGCCTTTCCCTCTCTCCTCCATGCTGATCTCCACTTTTATCCCAGTTGCTGTTGGTCGCAATAAGAGTACCCTTATCCCATTCCCTACATGCAAAATACATTCATCACAAAGCCCCTTCTGTATTCCTTGGTGATATCTCAAGGAATTATTTTCCTGCCCTTACCTTAAACCATGTCCATATTACGTTGCTAATCTCTCCTCTTGACTCCTAGCCATGAGCTACTCATTTTAAGCTGTTTTTTTTTCTTTTCCTTCCTCCTCCTCCTCCTCCTCCTCCTCCCCCTCCTCCTCTTCCTCCTCTGTTTCTTCTTCTTCCTTCGTCTTTTTCAGGCTGGCCTGGAATTCACAGAGATCTGCCTGCCTCTGCCTCCCAAGTGCTGGGACTACAGGCATGTGCTACCACGCCTGGCTAAACTGTCTTTTTTCATGCTGATAGATTAATATTCCTAAAATGTTGATTTCCCCACATGACTCCTTGCAAGACATCACAACAGCTTCCCAGTATTCACTTCTAATTGTTCTTCATCAGAGATTTCTGAACATTGTTACTTGCTAGGGACTATTATTGTGTGCTGAGGCTTACACAGAGCAGGACAGTATCATAGCCCTCAAGGGGTTGGCAGGCTAGTTGATAAATGCCCACCCAGGCAGAAAGAGGACAACCACAAAACAACACAGTGGGGTGTGTGTGTGTGTGTGTGTGTGTGTGTGTGTGTGTCCGCATGCACATTTTTAAGGAAACACAGATGAGGGAGAAATTGGTTCTATGTGAGAGGACCTGGGTTGGGCTTCCAGCACTCACATGGCAGCTAACAACTGTCCTAATCTGATGTCCTCTTTTGACCTCCACAGGCATTGTACCACACGGGTGTACTTACATCCATACAGGCAATACACTCATACACATAAAATTAAAAAAAAAAGAAATAAAATATTTTTTTGAATGAGGCTTTAGTGCCAGGTAGAGAGTCTTTAATCAGAATTGGTACTTTACCTTTTTTTCTTCCTTTCCTTCCTCCTTCACTCCCTCCCTCCCATCCTTCCTTCCTTTAGACAGTCTCACTGCGTAGTAGCCCATGCTGGCCTTGAACTGTTGGTACTCCTGCCTCAGGCTATGGAACACAGATTTTAGGTGTAGGTGTATGCCACCATGCTTGGCTAAGCTTCTCTCTCTCTATCCGCCCCCTGCCCCAGCTCTCTCTCTCTCTCTCTCTCTCTCTCTCTCTCTCTCTCTCTCTGTCTTTTTCTCTGACTTCTCCTGCTTGTCCCTTTTTCTTCTCCAAAAAGTCGATCTGAACCCCAAGGACCCACCTGTGTCTGCCTCCCTCAGCATTAGGATTTCAAATGCCACCACTCCTGGCTTTTTTTTTTCCCCTTTTCTTTTTTTTTTCTTTTTTTTTTTTTCTTTCTATTTTTCTAAGCAGAGATCTTGACTTTCACTCTAAGGAGTGAGTAATAAGGAATTGTACTTGACTTCAGGAGAGCTCTTTTTTGGTAAAAGGGGGTTTTGAAAGTTGTTTTTGAAAGCAAAGCACACCCTTCTCACCCCAGAGTTTAAACCAAGCCCTTCACACCCACTGTGAATTCTTTTGCTGCCTGAACAAGTGCTAAGGGGAAAGATCAGGATGCCTTGGTTTGAAAAACATTAAGATGCTGGAGGTAAGAATTGGGCTGGGGTGCTCCCAGTAGGGCTGGACATGCCAGGCTAGCTATATCCACTCTCCTCCGAAGTAGGGTCTGACTAATGATAGACTCTTATTCAAGAGATCTTTACATTTACCTTCCTCCCACCCCAATCCTCACATGCAATAATGACATGAGTGCTAATGAGGGTTGGAAATGCCTTAGGCAGAGCCCTGGGACATAGTAGGTATTCAGTATCTCCTCCCATTTCCACTCTCTGACTGAGTAGGACTTGACAGACAGTGGGTGCTGCCTTATATGTGTTAACAGAAATGTTTATAATCTTAGGCCCCCTCAGGTCCAGGGAGGTTTGCCTGAAGGGCTGAAGGCTATTATCCTGTTCTTCAACCCAGTGATTGAATGCCTCATTTGTACAGTGGTGATAACCTGTCCCATCCCCTGTCCACTTTCCAGTTTCCCCTTGGTCCTCTGAAGAGTCTGAGCAGTGTCCTCCCTGGTGATGAGTGGTCTTCAGGAAAATGGTTTATCTCCTTGTCCTCTCTAATCTTTTAACTGAGCAGAGCATGCCCACGGTCTCTCCCGGGGAATCTTTCTGGGCAGATCCCCTAAATCAGGCACTATCCTCTTAGTCCCGTCTTAGGTGTGGTCCACAGAGTCCTGAGCCAGGTTTATGTCTCTGTGTCTTGTCCCGGAAGGGTGGCACTGGGCAGCTCATAACCACCCTCCCAGCCCCTTGGCTGACTGCCCGAGGCCTGGCCAGCAGGGAGAACCGAGGTAATGAGTGATTAATGGGCACCTCATCTAATCTCCTGCCAGGGGAAATGAAGGGCCAGCCACGGACTGGGAGCTCGTCTTGACCTGCTCCAGGTGGGCTTGGAATGCACCCAGCTCAGGATGGGGATTAGGGCTTGAAAGACAAGAGGAAATGAGATGTTAACCCTTTAGGCCATGGCCCTGGGAGGCCCAGCAGGAAAATGGCAGGGGAGTTATCCACAGGCATCTGATGAAAGGCGGGCATAGCCTTTGATTTATGGCAGGGCTGCAGCCACCTAACTGTGACTACCTGGGCGGGGGGGGGGGGGGGGG